CACAGGGCCGGAGACAGGAAGGTGAGAAGGTGGTGGGGGAGACACCGCGAGCGGTCGGGAGAGGGAAGGCCGAGCAGGCGAAGAGCGGAGATCGGCTGCGACGGCTGTGGCGGCTGCTGCGGCGGACGGTGCTCGACCCGCGCACCGGCAGGGGCACGACGACCACCGGGAGAACACTCAACGGCAGCACCCCCAGAACCAACACCCCCAGAGCGAGAACCCCATCCAGCACAACCGGCACCCCCAGGCCCGCTGGGACAGACCACGCCAGGGGCTGTAGGACGAACACCCTCCTCCACGCCAGAACCCTCAGAGGCCAAGAGCGGCAGCGGCGGCGGCGGCGGCGGTGGCGGCTGCGACAACGGAGGCGGAGACACCAGGGAAGAGGGACGCAGCAAGGACGGGCCGGGGGGACCACCAGAGTCAGCAGACTCCTTAACGGGGACAACCGACGGGAGGGGAGTGACATGGGAGACACCAGACGGGGCAGGACGAGGCGGGAGGGGAGTAGGGGCTACCGGGAGAGAGGGAGCAAGGAACAAAGGGGGGGGGGACGCACTGGCCTCCGTGAAGGCCGAGCTGCTAAAGAGACACACCTGCACTGACCTTGGAGAGTTGCGTTGCTATCTTGGCCTGCAGATCTCTAGGGACAGAGCAGCACGCACCATCACTTTGACACAGTCACACTTGGTGTGTCAGGTCCTTTAGAGGTTCGGTCTTCAGTTCTCCTCCGCACAGCCCACACCTCTACCTGCAGACCATGGGCTCTCCGCTCCTGTTCCTGAGGAGCCAGTAGAGCCCAGCGGCCCCTACGCTGAGCTGGTGGCTTGCCTCATCTACCTGATGACTTGCACTTGCCCAGATCTTGCATACCCTCTCAGCACCCTGGCTCGCTTTGTGGCCACAGGCAGACACCGACCACAGCACTGGTCGGCCGCTAAGAGGGTTTTGCGATATCTAGCAAGTACATCAGGCATGGGGTAAGTGCTAGGAGGACGCAGGCCAGTGGTCCTCACTGGGCACACAGACGCTTCTTGGGCAGGCGACTTAGAGACTCTCAGGTCGTCTCAGGGCTACTGTTTTAGCCTTGGTTTGGGTGCTATCTCTTGGAGATCCACTCGCTCGTCGTCTGTTGCTCAGTCCAGCTGTGAGGCTGAGATCTACGCCGGTGCCATGGTGGCACAGGAGCTCCGTTGGCTGACCTTCTTGCTCACAGACTTAGGTGAGCGGCCTAGCTCTGCCCCGGTCTTATATACTGACAACAGGGCCATGATTCTCCTGTGTCAAGAGCCTCGGCTTGAGGGCAGAGCGAAGCATATCCAGCTGCGGTACTTCCTCCTGCGCGAGCTACAGCAGCGCCGCCAGGCCCGCGTAGTTCACTTGGCCCCCAGTGCCAACACAGCTGATATATTTACTAAGGCGCTTGCGCCTAAAGATCATCAGAGGCACTGTGTACAGCTTGGTCTTGTTCCTGTAGCTACTCACCTGTTAGGACCCTGATTGTGTACTCTCTATTATATATGCCTGTCTGACTGGCCTTGTGGCCTTACCTCCAGTGGCTAGACTAGTAGTGCTGCCCTGGCTTGCTTTAGTCTTGCTTGTACTCTTGCTGACTGGTCTCAGGACCCCTACCTCTGTGGTTGGACTAGTAGTGCCACCCTGAGATGTGTGCTTCTTGCCTAGCACCACCCCTCCTCTAGCCTAGGGGGTGTGTCAACTTATACATATGCTGTATATAGAAGTTATAGGCTAGCATAGGTGTATGCTTCTAGTGAGTACAACCCCAACAGGTATATGTTCTAGGTTCCTCACACTAGTCACATCATTCTCTCTTTCTAACATTGGTATGTTGAATGAGAAATGTATTGATCTGAGTTGGAGTTCATTGATAACTTACCAACCGCGCTAGGGTTTCTAGACTAGATATGTGCATGCTTTTGGAGGGTACAACACACAAGCATTATAACACCATGTATGCCACTGTCTAATTTATGTTAAATTATATATTGTGTTATATAATTGCTAGGCTTGGTAGGTTACCGAACTCTACTGTAGAGGGTACAATCCCCTCCTTGTATCCCTCTCCTTCTAGTCCAACTCTCTTTTCTCTCGTCAAACTTCCTCTACTAGTTCTCGTAGCTCCTAAACCTCTCGCCATTTAATGGTCGCCCTACGTTCCTAGCTAACCTAGCTTTATGACAAGGTTTCAGAGCGGGTCGTTTCTCCTGGGCCTGCTCCCCACGCTTCCGCCACGTACTCGTTCTTCGTTCGCCGCCTTTCGTTTTCGTGCCGCTGTGGCAGCTTCTCCGAGATGTCGCGACAGCTTCTTGGTGCGGCCGTCGCAGCACGCAGCCGTGACGGTGCCGTCTCGACGTGCGGCCATGGCGTCGACGTCCAGTCGTGGCGGCGCCGTCGCCGTCCAGCTGTGGCGGCGTGACGGCGCCGTCGGGCTGCCGTCGCAGCGTCGACGTCCCGCTGCGGCATCGACGCCATTCTGTGACAGCGCCGTCGGGCTGCAGCCGACCGCGCGACGCCTGTGACGCCGCCGCCGCCCGCACGCCGGCTGCCCTCCTTCCCCTGTGTCCCCTCCTCCTCGCCACAGCCGACGCCTGGCGCGTGGGGGACCCCATTGCCGTCGAGTTTGGACGTGCCGCCGAGAGGGCGGGGGTCGCTGCAGTCGCCTCTGATGTTGAAGCCGCCGTCGCCGTTGCAGTAGGCCGTTGCCGCCGCACGCCGTTGCCGACGCCGCTCTCGTCACTGTCGTGGTTACCACCATTGCCATCTCACAGGCCGTGGGGGTTGGCCCCACCGGAGTAAACGTGGCTGATGCTTGGTATGGGGGTGCTAGGTTAGGGGGTGTGGGTGTGTGTGGGCTTGTGCCTACCAAGCCTAGGGGGTGTGTTAAATTATATATTGTGTTATATTATTGTTAGGCTTGGTAGGTTACCGAACTCTACTGTAGAGGGTACAATCCCCTCCTTGTATCCCTCTCTTTCTAGTCCAACTCTCTTTTATCTCGTGAAACTTCCTCTACTAGTTCTCCTAGCTCCTAAACTTCTCGCCATTTAATGGCCGCCCTACGTTCCTAGCTAACCTAGCTTTATGACAATTTATTGTGCTATTCTGAGACCCTTCGTGATAGTGAGAGGCAAATATGAGGTTGGTATTGATAAATTATATATTATATATATAATTGTAGGCTTGGTAGGTATTGTTGGATCCTACTGTAGAGGGTACAACCCACATTCTTGTATCCCTCTCTCTTCTATTCCAACTCTCTTCTCTTTCGATACCTTTCTCCTTCCTAAAACCTCTCGCAATACCATGGCGCCTCTTCCTAGCTAGCTTATTTTAACATGGTTTCAGAGCAGGTCCGTCTGCTCGGGCCTGCTCATCACGCTTCCGCACATTCTGCTCCTTGCTCTTGTCCTTTCCGTGCCGCCGCCACGACCATGTCGTGCTGCTGTGACGGCGCCGTTATGCTGCCGTGACAGCGTTTACGCGCCAGCGCGCGGACGGCACGGACGGCAGTGGCCAGCGCTCGGTCTTAGCGTTGGCCAGCACGCCCGCATGCAGCCAGCGCGTCACACAGGGCGGCACGCTCATGGGCTCCACTACTGAAGCCTCGCCCCCTTCCTCTGCGTCCCCTCTTCCTCGCCGCAGCCGACGGCTGACTCGCGCCGGCCGTCCCACCGTCGCGGAGCCCGGCCACGCCTCCGAGTGCTGCGAGCTCCTCCGCCACCGCAACTGTCGTCGAAGCCGCCGCCGCCGCAGCTGGTGCCGCTGGCCATGCCGCCGATGTCGACGCGTTGGAACCGCTGCACTCGCTGTCGACGTCGCCGCCTCACGCGCCGAGGGGTTGACCATACTGGAGTAGCCGTCGCTCCTGCTGAGTATGGGGGTGCTAGGCTTAGGGGGTGCTAGGCTTAGTGTGATGTGTGTATGGTGTGCTTTCGGCTACCAAGCCTAGGGGGTGTGTTAAATTATATATGATATATATAATTATATAATTATAGGCTTGGTAGGTGTTGCTGGATTCTAATGTAGAGGATACAACCACCCTTCTTGTATCCCTCTCTCTTCTATTCCAACTCTCTTCTCTCTCGATACTTTTCTCCTTCCTAAAACCGCTCGCCATTCCATGGCGCATCTTCCTAGCTAGCTTATTTTAATAGGTATATCTACAGTGGAGAACAACTTTACAAACCGGGCCCAGTCGTATTCTAACAGTTTCCGCCGCTGCATCGGGCTTGCCATAACCAACTTCCGTGAAACACTGCTCTCCCTAGGTTTTTAATCGACGATTGAAATCATGCTTACAAGTTGGGACTTCATGTGTCCCTGAGTATCAGCCGTCAAATCCACGTTTGGCCCAACTTGAAATCACCCCAAATCAAACCAGGCCCAGCTTGCATACGAAAGCCTACGCGAAGTAACAGAATCCCAATCTTCGCACCCAATAGCACAATGTTTTTTCCACCCGCCCAGCCCAATTTCTGTCCGTTGACTTACATGAACTAATTTGGGATCTGGGCTTCAAACAACGACGCCTTGTAAATTGAAACACGTATATTTAAGCTCAGTAATTACATGCTACTTTGGTGCAATCCAATCAGGTTGCCACTTATAATTAACACATTAGTAGCCAACAAAAAGCGCTAATTCGTATGACATTATTCAACATACAATGAAAGTTGGCTCGGTTACGCCTGAGATTCTACATGTACTCATTCTCGCCAAGATGGTCACATTTCTCAGGGTCGTACGATCTGCCCCCGAAATCGCTCACCGCAACTCACGCTACGTACGAGTCTCCCGATCACCCATGTACGCATCCTACGTGGCTACACCTACTCCCGTTCCATTGCCCCGAAGCTGTACGATGCTCGTCGTACACATCCGCGCCGCGGTGGCTGTGGAAATTTGTGCAATCGCGGTCCGTGCTAGTCTGGATTATGCATCCCCAACAGCATCTCCTTCCCCAATCACTCCAAATCGAATTTGGGGGTATAAAACCACACCTTGATCTGAGTAACAACCATCCAGCAGAACTAAGCAAGAAGGCTCCCAAATCATACTGCAGTCAAATCCTGCTCCTGTTTCTGGTGGATCTCTGAACGGGACCATGGCCTCCGTCTCCGCTCTGTCATCTAGCCTTCAGGTAGTACCAGCCATAAAAGTCCACTGACCTTCTGAATGTCTGTTTTTTATTTTTGAATTCCTGGTCAAATCTCTCATTGCAATGCTCTGCCTGTCGACATCCTCTTATTTCCAGGCCTCTTCCGTTAGCACATTTGCGGGGAAGCAGCTCAGCGCCACTCAATCCCGGAGCAGCACCGTCAAGCTCACCGCCAAACGCGCTGCAGTCTCTGTGAAGGCCAGCAGCGAAAGCACATCCGCTGATGACGTCAGCCGCCGTGAAGTCCTCAAGGCAGCACTCGTTCTCGGCGCTGCTGTGCCCGCTTCTGCCGCTGGATTCCTCTCCTTCACCCCTGCCAGGTAACACTGCAGTCCTTGCGGTTTGGGATCCCATAATGTCCTTACTCGTAGGGTCTAGTGGTACAAGTAGCATTATTTTTCTGTTCTCAGAATGACTGGATGGATATTTCCGGTTTTTTCCCCTTTTTTTTTCTATTCATTCTGCAGCTCCGCGGACGAGCTGGTGGCGAAGGATCTGAGTGGCAAGGTAGTGATGGTGGACAACTGGCTCGCCACGCACAAGGCTGGCGACAGGACGCTCGTCCAGGGCCTCGATGTAAGCACATCCGCGGATCCACAGCTTCCGTATTTTCCATTTACCGTATCAACTCAAGTTTCAGGTTCCCTTTTGGATTTGCGTCCTTTGCTGCGAGAAATCCTTTCCTCTCATTCCTTTCTCTCTCCGTTCTCCCCCCTTTCTACTTCCTTCGTCGCAGGACGAGCCGGCGTACCTGGTGGTGAACAGCGACGGCTCGCTCGGCAACTTCGGCATCAACGCCATCTGCACGCACATGGGGTGCGTGGTGCCGTGGGTGGCGGAGGAGAACAAGTTCATGTGCCCGTGCCATGGCTCCCAGTACAACAACCAGGGCATGGTCGTCCAGGGCCCCGCCCCCCTGGTACGCTTCTCCTCGTTATTGAGCTTATGACTGTTGCAAAATCTTCTACATGGCTGCAGCTCTTCTTGCTTTCCTCTCCCCAGCAATTTCATTTATTGTCCCTGACCTCAATCTTGTGGTTCTGCTGTTTTCTTTTCCTCGTTCTTACCATGCCTATCCCTCGTCCCCCTACCAGTGTCTTGCTCTGGAGCACACCGATGTGGTGGGCGGAAAGGTAGTCTTCTCCACGTGGACTGACCCTTCGCTCCTCCTCTTTCCCCTCCCCTTCTCTCCCTCCCTCTCCCCTCCCCGCCTCAGTCTCTGGCTCTGGAGCACACCAATGTGGTGGGCGGGAAGGTTGTCTTCTCCACGTGGACTGAGACTGACTTCCGCACCGGCGAGGAGCCCTGGTGGATGGAGGACTAGACTATGGCTACATGGTTACATAGTTACATGATTCTGTCGTTATTGTCACCCCATAATATGTACAATGGTTTGGGTTGCCGCACCTCGCCTCAACCTTGCATGCGTCTTACTATTGTTTTTACAGAAAAATCTTATGGTACATCAGAGGTCACATTTGTGCACTACTACATGCCTTCTCTTAAACGTTTCTTAGTGAACAGTGCAATAAAGAGTGCATTGGTGTTGGAAGTGGGAGGGTCGAATCTGAGTGTGTGTGGTACACCACCAGGCCTGCATGGCCAGCCCTTAGCCTCCTCTACTTGAACGAGCTCTGAACATGGAAGGCAGAACACCGGGGTAGAAGAAAGGGCAGTTCTGTGAGAAGTGGGAGGGTCGGATCTCAGGGTGCATGGTATACCACCAGCCCTACATGGCTAACCCTTGACCTCCTCCACTTGAACGAGTTCTGAATCATGGTGGGCAGAAAAAAAGGGTAGGAAAGGTTGGCGGCAGAAAAGGGGAGGAAGAGATGAGGCAGAAAAGGGGAGGAAAAGTTGGAGCAGAAAAAAGGGTACTAAAGTTACACCTGCAAAGGGAGGGAAATAGCCAAGTTCTGGCAAGCACAGTAGGCCACACATGGCTGTACACAAAAAGCAAGCCACCCGGCTCGGAAGCTACACGATGCAGAAAGCACAAACATGCAGAACGTAAAGCAATGAAGAAACAATCTGGAGGACAGAGGGGTGGCTGAAACTGTGGCATGAAGAGATGTGCAGAGGCGGGTGGGGGCAATGGTGCGAGCGGCAGATTTGTGCTTCACGGGTGTGGGCAATGGTGCGACAATTTACAGTGATGCCTGTTGTTACCATGGAGCATCACTAGGACACACGTGTGAGCAACGCGACCATGATGTGGGCAATGGTGCGAGCAATCAGGTCTTGTGCCTCATGGGCGTGAGCAAAGGTGCTGCATGGGCGTGAGCAAAGGTGCTGCATGGGCGTGTGCAAAGGTGCTGCATGGGCGTGTGCAAAGATGCAACATGGGAGCAGAAAGCCTAGTGCTCCGTAATGGCATCATGGGTGTATGGCCTCAAAGGGGCAGCACTCTACAGTGATGCCAGCATGAAGCATCACCAGGAGTCTATTTTTGAGCCGCCTCAAAATGAGGCGCCTCAAAAATAGACTCCTCACGCATAGAAACGAGCATCACCAGGCGAAACTAGCACTCCCATGATGTGGGCTCTGTGTAATGAGTCGATTCTTGAGTCGACTCAAAAATCGACTCATTACACACGGACTCTACAGTGATGCCAGCATGAAGCATCACCAGGAGAAACGAGCACTCCCACGATGTGGGCTCTGGCGTTAGCCATGATCGAGACGAGCAGCAGTGTAAACAAAACGTTTAGCAAAAGATTGACAGTAAAATACTCAAAAGATTTACTGTCAATCTTTTGCTAAACGTTTTGTTTACACTGCTGCTCGTCTCGATCATGGCTAACGACACTCTACAGTGATGCCAGCATGAAGCATCACCAGGCGAAACGAGCACTCCCACGATGTGGGCTCTGGTGCGAGCAGCACTGACCTGCCTCATGGGAGTGTCTTTCCAAGAACCATCGCACCACATCCTCGTTCTGTGACACTGTGAGGCTGGGAGGGGAGGAAGGGACGGGTGGGGATGAGGAGGGGAGGAGGGGAGGAGGCGACAGGTGGGGAGGAAGGGACGGGTGGGGATGAGGAGGGGAGGAGGGGACGGGTGGGGATGAGAGGCACTTCAGTGAGAACAGGGGAGGGACAGACAGAGGGGACTTTTGAGTCAATCAGGAGTGTGTGATCGGGGGACTTTTGAGTCGACTCAAAATGAGGAGAGAGAAACAGAAAGATGGAGCAGGAAAATGAGGAGAGGGAAACTGTGGAGAGGGAGGTTTGACTCATGGTTCCTATTGAGCCCATACAGTCTCAAGGGTAAATTTGGTTTGACTCTTGGAACGAATTTCATAGGAACATGGCACCAGATCCTCTCTTTTCCATGGTGTGGAATAATAGCAGTATATTGACTTTCAGCGACTGGTGAAATTTGCACCAAAACCCAGTCCAGAATCACATGCTCTACAATATGAAAAAATAGAGAAAAAAATTATATGGATGAAAGTATACACTGCAGTCTCACCTGCACGTAGAGTACACCAGCCTTCCCCCCGGCTTGAGCAGCAGGAAGCCGGTTTCTAGCAAAGACCGCTGCAGCAGGACAGAGAAGGGGAGGGAAGGAGAGAGAGAGAGGGGCGGGGGGGGGGGGTTTAGGGGGGTCGGATCAGAGAGAGGGAGTGTCCCAGGCTTCCCCCCGGCTTGAGCAGCAGGAAGCTGGTTTCTAGCAGAGAGCGCTGCAGCAAGACGGGGGGGGGGGGGGGAGGAGGAAGAGGGAGGGAATGGGGGATGGAAGAGGAGGATTGAGGGGGGGTGCGAGAGAGGGAAGCTAGTTCCTCACCTGCAGCGCTGCCAGCGAGTTGAGCCTTTGGGGGTCCAGGAACCGCTTGCTGAGGGTGCGCCAGCCCCACGTGTCGTACTTTAGGATGTGCTTTAAAGGGGTAGCAAGCAAAGGCTACACGACTGCTACCCCAGTAGCTGCACACTGCAGTCCCGTGCTGCTCACCTGCAGCGCTGCCAGTGAGTTGAGCCTTTGAGGGTCCAGGAACCGCTTGCTGAGGGTGTGCCAGCCCCACGTGTCGTACTTGAGGATGTGCTTCAGGGAGCCATCATGTGTGCACTCTGCGTCCACGAGCACCTGGCAGAGCAAACATTGGGAAAGTAGTCACCAGCATTTGGTGTTGCAATGAAGAATGCCGAAGGGCCATACATGTTTCATTGCGCTGTTGTGCGTGCACTGCACTTTGCGTCCACTAGCACCTGGTAGCTGAAGCAAGGGAAGGGTGACACAACGAAAGGGTGACACAAGGGATGGGTGACACAAGGGAGGGATGACACAAGGGAGCGATGACACAAGAGAAGCAACCATAATGGCCATATGGTGGATGCGCCCATCCTGTTCTGAGGTGCTTCAAGCACCCTAGCTTCCTCGCTTTATCATAGCCATCCCTGCCACAACCAGCTCTGGTATCCTACCACTGCCATCCATGCCACAACCAGCTCTGGTATCCTACCACTGCCATCCAGTGCTCCCCACAAAACACAGGCCAAGACACAGCAAGGGCCTTCACCTCCCCACCTTCATGCCTCATGACTCGCCTTCCCACCTTCATGCCTCATGACTCTCTTTGCCGCACCCGGCATCCGCATCCCACCACTGCCATGCTGACCAGACCACCCACGGGGAACATACCAAGGCACAGCAAAGGCCTTCACCTCCTCACCTTATCGTAACCTTCTTGGCCGCACCCGGCATCCACATCCCACCACTGCCATGCCGTTCGCCCCACAAAGAAAAGCTCTGGTCGCTGCCCTCTCTGCCACTGCGCCGTTGCTGCCTCGTCTGTCGCTGTTAGTGCTGATGCTGCAGCTGTAGCAGCAGCGGCTGTAGCAGCAGCGGCCACAGTGTCTCGACATGCCGCCTCATACATTCGCAGGTGCTTCGCCCTCCTCCTCTCCTTCCTCGTCCTCTTCCTCCTCCCCACCCCCTCTGCCTCCTGCTGCTGCCCTTCCTTCTCCTCTCTCTCCTCTCCTTCCCCTCCCTCCTGCTCTCTCTCCTCCTCCTCCTCTCCCTCCTGCTCTTCTCTCCCCTCCTCCCACCACAGTCCTTCAGCCTCCTCCTCTTCCTTTCTCTCAGAAACCCCCTCTCTACCATCACCAATCACTGCCCTATCACGTGTCACTGCCCGACCACCTGTCACTGACCGAACGTCAGCCATTGCACCATCACCCATCACTGCACCATCACCCATCACTGCACCTCTTTCTACAAGCCTTTCCCTACCATCATCCGCTGCTGCACCTTGCTTCCCTGGAGAAACGGAGCGATGAGGCCGAATCTCATCTTCAACCCTCGGCTCAGCCATAGGAGGCGACCGTTGTTCAGACGCAGCCGCAGCCGGCTTAAACCCTAATCCATCGAATCCAATCCCCAGCTTGGCAGCAGGCGGGCCGAGCCAAAACGCTGTGGCATCCCCCAGGAACAGCCGGCATCTGTCAGTGAGCCGGTGCTTCTGGAGCAGCGTGCGGCATGCAGCCAGGCGGGAGGGAGACACGTCCACTGCTGTGACTGTCCCTGTTACAGTTATGGGATCCCGTGTGGGTTCATCAGTGCTGTCGGCAGCCTGATGTCGCACAGCGGAGGGGGTGGCTGAGAGACCATCCAAAATCAAGCAGAGCTTGGCTCCTGGTAGGAGGGTTGCAGGAGGGCAATGGGAAGGAAAGGCGGGCAGCTTGTCTCTGCGTGAGAGAAGTCTAGCTTTGAGGCTCCTCAAAACCAGACTTCTATCATGCAGGCGTGAAATTGCTGCTGTGCGACATGTGCGGCCGGGGAAGGGGAGGAGAAGAGCTTATCCAATGTCAGACAGACCTTGGCGGCTGGTGTATGGCACATGTACATATGACATTGGCTCCTTGCCAGTTGTGGTGGAGGGGGGATGATGATTGGATGAGAATGGTGATGGTTCTGGGAAATGTCGGGAAATGATTCAGGCAGGAGGCATCCACAACATGCCTCCATCAAAAAACGATTTTTTAAGGCGCCTCAAAAATCGTCTCAGTTTTTGAGGCGCCTCAAAAATCGTCTCAGTTTTTTAGGCGCCTCAAGAATGGTTACAGGGTGTTGGGAAATGATTCAGGCAGGAGGCATACACAACATGCCTCTCTCAACACCCCCCCCATCTCGCCCCTCCCACCCCAAACCCCAGCCCCCTCTCCTCACAACACGCCGAAACAGCTGGTTGATCAAGTGTCAGACGCCCGAACTAACAGGCAACCAGCCTGGAGCAACAAGGAATCTGACATGACAAGTAGGACTCCCAACAGTTTTTGAGGGCGCCTAAAAAATAAACCAACAGGCAACCAGCCTGGCTGGACCAACAAGAATCTTCCCTGATGAAGCACACAGGCACCCACCTGTCACCCACCTGTCACCCACCTGTCACCCACCTGGCATCCACCTGGCATCCACCTGGCATCCACCTGGCATCCACCTGGCATCCACCTGTCACCCACCTGGCATCCACCTGTCACCCACCTGGCATCCACCTGGCATCCACCTGGCATCCACCTGTCACCCACCTGGCATCCACCTGTCACCCACCTGGCATCCACCTGGCATCCACCTGGCATCCACCTGTCACCCACCTGGCATCCACCTGTCACCCACCTGGCATCCACCTGGCATCCACCTGTCACCCACCTGGCATCCACCTGGCATCCACCTGTCACCCACCTGGCACCCACCTGTCACCCACCTGGGGCGGCACAGAGGTCGAGGACGTGGCCTGAGGGGGTGCTAGTGATTTCGTTTGGAGACGTCTCGAAACGAAATCACCAATCAACACACATCTTACACCTGAAGAAGCAGGGCTTACACCTGAAGCAGCAAGGCTGACACCTGAAGAAGCAGGGCTGACACACACCTGGGGCGGCACAGAGGTCGAGGACGTGGTCTGTGGGGGATAGCTGCAGCGCTGCCACTGCCGCTCCTGACGCTGCATCCATGCCAAATATCTGAGAGGGGTGGGGAAGTGAGAGGAGACGCGCAGGAGAGGCAGTGGGGAATGGGGGAGAAGAGCAACAGGGTAGCTGCAGCATTATTTATTGCTACTGATGCTGCATACATGCCGAATATTTGAGGAGGGCGAGTGGCGGACGAGGGCATACAAGGGGAAAGGGAGAGATGGGAGTGGGGCGAAGCGGAAGCTTGACGGCAGATGCCCATACATTATACATAGCATAGTGTGCGGGCAGGAAAGGGGAGGGGGAATGCTGGTTTTTGAGAATTCTAATAACCAGCTCATATGCCCATGCATGGTCTACTACTGTGCAGGCAGGACAGGGGAAGGGGGATGTGCTGCTCATGGTGTATGGTGCAACACCCATGCCAGAGATATGCCACCCTCTCTCACACTCACTATCGCCCTTCGCCAGAATCACCTACCCTCGTGGCCAAATATCACCCTGAAACCTCACCTGGCCTCTCCTGTATGCGCTAGTGCCTGAAATGTTGAAATCTCCCGGGAGGGAGAAGAAACCTGGCAGCCATGGTACTTCCGCCATCCCAGCAGCTGCTGCTGCTGATTCTGCTCTTGCTGCTGATTCTTCTCTTGCTGCTGATTCTGCTCCTGCTGCTGCTCCTGCTGCTGCTGATTCTGCTGCTGCTGCTGATTCTGCTGCTGCTGCTGATTCTGCTGCTGCTGCTGATTCTGCTGCAGCCAGCAGCCCTGCAATCTCCTCCTTCACCTCGTGCACCTCGGCGTCGCTCAGCCCTGCTCGAAGCCTGGCAGAAACGGAGGGAGGATAAGGAGAGGGTGCATTGCACTCTTGTGATAATATTAGGGGCTCCTTTCTTCAGCAGCCCTGCAAGCTCCTCCTCCACCTCCTTCTCCTCTGCCATCTCATTCACCTCTGCCACCTCATTCACCTCTGCCACCTCATTCACCTCTGCCACCTCATTCACCTCTGCCACCTCATTCACCTCTGCCACCTCATTCACCTCTGCCACCTCATTCACCTCAGTCACCGCTGGATCGCTCAGCCCTGCTCGAAGCCTGGCAGGATAAGAGGGCAAAGCCGTGTATTAATAATTTCGTTTTGACACATCTCAACCATAAACGGAACAGTCTTGTACTATGCCAGATTTTCCTTCAAGATAATTTCTGAGAATTATTGAAAATCATCCGCGGCAACACCATGACCGGAACAGCCATGGTTGGACCAACCTTTGAGCCGAAATTCTCGGTGTTGGCTGGCTTAAAAAAAAAAGAAAAAAAAAAAAGAAAAAAAAGGCCCATATATCAGGTATGCAAAAGGAAATCCGTGCCTGATATATCTGGGCAGGTCGGCATGGCGACTGTAGATGCTCGGGTCGATCCCATTGTCTTCCAGAAACTGCAGAAACTCGCGAGGAAACGGCTGCTGCTGCTGCTGCTGCTGCTGCCGCTGCGATTCCTGCTGCTTCGTTTCAGTCTTCCCCTGAGTAGTCGCATCCGCTATTATCCCGCCTTCACTACGCATTGCGGCTTGGCGCGCAGCGGTTTGCGCGCGACTGCTGCGGCGGAGCAGGAGTTCAGGCGGCGGAGAGCGCGGATGTTGAGGGATTTGGCGCGCAGAGCAGTAGTACAGCGCAGGGGGAGGAAAGCGGGAACGACGGGGAGAGGCGCGCGGAAAGCGCGACGGAGGAGATAGATGTGGACGACTGAGCAAGAATAGGTTGCGACGGAATTCGATTGTATGCGACAGAGTGCGACAGAATGCGACGTCGTAAACGGCGCGAGAGGATGGAAGGAGGGGAGAGGCCATGCGAGCACCGAGCATTTTTTGGACGTCTATAAACACTTCATATCCATGTTGGACGGATCAAGTGAGCGGGATAAACGGAGGTAAACGAAGTGGGGAAGGGAGGAGGGAAATAGTCGAAACTTGGGTACGCGATAGAAGGCGGATCAACGAGGCAGTTTGTAAATGCTGGAGGCAACGAGTTTACGACAGCAGCAAATTCCACAATCCCAGCAATCAACTAATTTAGCTTACACAACAACAATGACACTTCTCTAAAAAATAGCTCTACAATCTCGCTTAATAATTGCATATTTCAAATCCATGCCATACATTGTACACCAAAACCCGACTTGAAGCCACATTGCTTGTTCCTCCACATCTACAGCAGCTCTTTTCAAATACAATTATATAGGCTAGCTAGTTAATATTTGTTATAGCCTTAATTAGGTCAGTTCTTAGAGGGTACAGTCCTACCTTTGTAACCCTCGACATTTTCCCTTAGTTCACTATTCTCTCGACAATCTAACATGGCATCTAGAGCTAGGTCTCGACCTCTACTCACGCTTCCGCCCTAGCACACCCTAGACTAGCACGCCTCGGCCCTATTTGCGCGCCTTGTAGCTCATCCCCTCCCCGCCCTCTCCTCTTCGTAACGTAGCTCACGCCAGCCGCCACTGGCCCGCGCCCGCCAGGGCCTTAGTTTGTAGCCGTCCCACCTCCCGCCACCCGTTTGTAGCCTGCGCCAGCTCGCACCAGCCCGCCTGCTCGCCTGCTCATCAGCCCGCCAGCCCGCCTGCTCGCCAGCTTGCCCGCTCGCCCGCCCGCCTGCTTGCTTGCTCGCCTGCGTGCCAGCCCGCCTGCTTGCCAGCCCGCCTGCTTGCCAGCCCGCCGGCTCGCCTGCTCGCCAGCCCGCAAGCCCACCTGCTCACCAGCTCGCACGCTCGTCAGACCGCCTGCTCGCCTGCTCGCCAGCCCGCCAGCCCGCATGCTCACTAGCTCGCACGCTCGCCTGCTCGTCAGCCCGCCTGCTCGCCAGCCTGCCAGCCCGCTTGCTCGCTAGCCCGCCAGCCCGCCAGCCCGCCTACTTGCCAGCGCGCCTGCTCGCTAGCGCTTGTGCTCGCCAACGCGCCTGCCCGTCTGCTTGCCCGCTCGACTGCTCACCAGCCCGCCTGCTCGCCTGCTTGCCAGCAGCGCCAGCAGCCAGCTTACTGGCTCACCAGCGCCAGCAGCCGGCAGCCAGCGCCAGCTCGCTCGCACCACCTCGCTAGTACCAGCAGCCAGCAGCAGCTAGCTTGCCAGCGCCAGCTAGCTTGCAAGCGCCAACCAGCGCCAGCAGCCAGCAGCGCCAGCAGCCAGCAACCAGCTTGCTGGCTCACCATCGCCACCAGCACTAGCAACCAGCAGCCAGCGCCAGCCGCCAGCCGCCAACAGCCCACTGCCAGCAGCTAGCATCTAGCGCCGGCTGCTGCCACCCACTATCACTACCGCAGCTACTACTGGCCGATGCCGCCCCGCTGCTGCCTATTGCCGCCCACTGTCGTTGCAGCTGCCACTACCGTAGGAACTGCTGCCGCCACTGCAGCCACTGCCACCGCTGCCGCTACAGCCGCCGCTGCAACTCCTGTTGCCACTGCTGTTGCCCACGGTCAGCTTCGGCCTCCAGCAGCCAGCCACCAGCCGCCAACACCAGTCACCAGACGCCAGCAGCCGACCGCGACCCTCAGCCGTCAGCCGCCAGCTGTCACCACTTGCGGCCAGCCGCTGACCACCAGCCGCCAGCAGCAGCCGGCCGCCAGCCGCCAGTCGCCAATCGACCGCCTGCCACGTGAGTCTCCCGTGCCCTGTGGACTGTCCTTCGTCCTGTGCCGCCAGTCCTAGTGCCTCCTATCTAGCTCCTTGGCATACTGCTCCTAGTAGATCCTCTCCCGCATACTTCCTCCTCGTTTGCTCCCCACTCCTCCTAGTAGCCCCTAGCCTACAGCCAACCGCCAGCTAGCCGCTACTGCCGTCTTACTATCACTAGCCATTGCTGCTACCCGCCTCGTGCTCGCTGCCACTGCTCTGACCACAGTCTCCACTGCTACTACCTCCGATTGTACTCCTCTAGTACCTAGTGCCTCCCACTAGTCTCCTCCTCATTTCTAGAGTTCCTCGACGTCTCTCCTCTTGGCATGATGGTCTCGTTCGGGTCAGTCCCTCGGCCAGACCGTCGGGCACTTCCCTCCACTCTCCGATTTCTTGCTCACCGTCTACAGCTGGGGAGCCTGCACCTAGACTGCACGCCCCTAGAGGATCACATTAGTTACCTCATAGGCTTCTGGCTCCACGACCTCGACGTCTGCTTTCGGGCTCTCTGCCCAGTGCCGCAACCTCAGCAGCAGCAGCAGCAGCGGCGGAAGTAGCAGCAGCAGCGGTAGTAGCCTCAGTGGGGTCTTGGGGGTGCTGGGTGAGGTGGAGGCACTGGAGGTGCGGCCCCGGGGCGGTCACTGCCCTGGGGCCAGTGTGGCTTCTCTGGAGGACCGGGGGCCTTGTGGCTTAAGGGTCTAGGTCCCACCACTGTGTCTTGTCTAGGAGCCTCTACTACGTGTCCATTAGGCTCCTCCCCTGTCCCTCCTGAGGTGGCCCTCTCCTTTATCCTTGACTCCGGTGCGTCTCGTTGCTTCTTTAGAGACAGCACTGCTCTCACCCCTCTTCATGCGCCTGTCCGCGTTGCACTGGCAGACTTCTCCACCACAGCTGTCGCACGTAGCACCACCACTCTCCCTTGTCCAGCTGTCCCCTCCGGCTCCCTCACCGGTCTACACATCCCCTCGTTTGCCAGGAACCTAGTGGGTGTCGGTCACCTTCAGGACTGAGGCGTCACCACTACGTCCCCTGGCCATGAGAGACATGCAGCTTGCACAGACACAGCCACCGGTCGGCACTTAGCCATACGTTTGAGCTTTACCCATGGTCACGTCACTTTACATTGCATAGTGAGTCCCCCGCCAACTACTGCGTCTGCAGCGGTTATCGCATCCTACTCCTGTCGCTCCATAGCCCACCCGACTGTTCTTTGGCACCACTGCTTAGGTCACCATGCACTCCCGCATCTTAGGCACATGTCCCATCATGGTCTAGTCACTGGTCTCCCTGCGTCGCTTCCCGCCCTACCTACGTCGGTCGAGCCACTGTGCATCTCCTGCGTCGAGGGCCAGCAGCGCGCCGCCCCTCACTACTCCTTGTTTCATCCTACTACAGCGCCACTACAGACGCTGCACATGGACGTTCGGGGCCTTGCCCTGGTTCATGGTCTTAGTCGAGAGAGCTACTTTTAGTCATCATTGACGACTTCTCTCGCTTCACCACAATGTTCCCGTTGGAGCGGAAGGCCGACGTGCCTAACGTTCTCGTCCTGTGGCTTCGTAATGTTCGCACCAACCACCGCCTGTCTGTAGGTCGCTTACACTCTGACCGTGGTGGCGAGTTTGCCTCTGGCACTCTAAGACAGTTCTGTCGTGCGGAGGGCATCTGCCAGTCGTACACACTGCCAGACTCCCCACAGCAGAATGGGGTCGCTGAGTGACGCATCAGCCTGATCATGGAGGTAACTTGCACCTCCATGGTCCATGCAGGTGCGCCCCATTTTTTGTGCCTATTCGTCATGCGCTACGCTGCTCACCAGCTTAACCTATGGCCGTGCTCCCAGCGGCCACAGGTTTCAGCGACCCTCCTCTAGACCGGGTCTGTTGGTGATGCGTCTGCGTTCCACATCTGGGGCAGCCTTGCTCATGTTCGCGACACTTGCGCGGACAAGCTCTCAGCTTGCACCCTTCCTTGTGTCTTCCTACGGTTTTTTCTTGACGCCTCTGATTGGCTGTTCTACCACCCATCACACCATCGCTTTTACCACTCTCGTGATCTTCCCTTTGACAAGACGCTCCACTACTACCGACGCTTCCTGCACCACAGCGCTCCTATGCCTCCTGCTCCTCTCTTCCTTGTCCCTGCCCTATCTGCCGCTCCCCTCCCATCCCGCCCGGCCCAGTCTAGTGTCTTCCACGCCACTCAGTTCCCCTCGGTTGCACCTGTGGGGGAGTCGGCTTAATCTGGGGGGTGCGCATGCTGTCTCTGTGGCGCCTCCCCCAGCCTCGATAACCCAGGCACCTCAGCCGCCTCCTCCCTTGCCTCAGCAGCAGCAGCAGCCGTTGCAGTAGCAGACTCAGCGGTCGCAGCAACAGCAGCAGAAGCAGCAGGGAGCAGTGGGCTCTGGGGGTGCTGGTGTTGGTGGAGTTGGTGTTGGGAGTTCTGGTTTTGGGGGTGCGAGCTCTGGGGGACCTGACCCTGGGGGTGCTTGTTCTAGGGGTGCGAGTTCTGGGGGTGCAGACTCCGAGGGTGCTCGTTCTATGGGTTGTGCGTCCGAGGGTGCTAGTCCTGGGGGTGCTGTTTCGCGGCGTGCCGGTGGCACCTGCGGTGTCACTGGAGGTTCTGGAGAGGACAGGGAGCAGGTGCAACCGCAGCAGCAGGCACAGCCATCGCAGCAGAAGCAGCCGCAGTCTGCCCTTCGTCTCCTTGGTCTTGCTACAGGTTCCCCTGTCCGCCCACCTGTTCCCCCTCTGGTGCGTGACCCTGTTTACGGCCCGTTGTTTCCTCCTCCGGACTCCTCTCCCACTCATTTTCCCCTGCGCTCCCCTCCGTCCCCTGACTTGTCCCCCATTCCCCCTCGTCCCCAGTTCCTCGTTCTTCCCCACTGGGTCTGTCGCCCCTCTGGTGCTCGTCCTTTCTCTCCCCGTCCCAGTATCCACCCTATGGTCCTTCGTTCACGTGCTCCTCCTGTCACAGTCCTCCCGTTGCCTCCCCCATCGTCGCTCCCATCGTTCCCCCATCCTTGCTCCGACGCTACTCGCACTGCTCGTCCTACCCTCTCGCGCCTGCTTGCGTTGCTTGTCACTGACCTTACTGCTCATCCTGAGTTTGTCTTTGCGCTTGTCGCTGTACTCGCTGACTTTGTTGGTACTGCCTGTCCTCCGTCCGCCAGGGATGCACTGCCCTTGGCAGTGACATGCTAGAGGGCAGGCAGTACGAGTTGGCTTACCTTGCTGCCGCTGTTCCCCTTCTC